TGAAACTGGAATTCTGCCAGACATAGCCAGTGTGAAAATGTTATGCTTTCTTTAGTCCTCTATATCACCTGTGGCTCTGGGAAACAGTGATCAACATTTGTCACCATGTTTTTTTTTAGAGCAAACACATCAAGTGAGAAAATGATCAACTGTTGCAGCCCTAGAAAAAAAGTTAATATCCTAGATTTGGGATGTAAATAAAACCTAGTAATGATCCCTATCCATCTTCTTTGTTTACTCTATGTTTCAGGTCTGAGGCACTGTACCTGGCTGAGGACCCCAGTCCTCCAGCCTGTGAACCATACGAGCCACACCAACCAAGGGTCCACCTAAATGGTGAGTTTGCACTATTTTAATCACTGGATATACGTGCGTAAAGTACACTGCAGTATCATAGTACATACTGGCACACATAGCATGTAACACATTTACCATTCACGCTCTAAAGTGTCCCAGCAGTATCAATATAAGATCTTTGCTGGTGTTCTTTAGGTCTTGTATGTACTTTGATTTCAGCTTAGATTGTTAAACTTCAGTGTTGCATCACAACATTCAGTGTCACTTTGTTGGCCTAAAACAGCCGTTTGCTACTTTGTGGAGTTATTGACTGTCTTACTGTTGAGGCGAGAGAGGAAACACATTTTGCTACTTTGTGGAAAGACAGGAAGTATGATAGCACACAGATTTCCAGGATTTGTTGCTTCAGCAAAAAGCTTCTTCCTCTAATATTATGCATGTTTACTTTGTGTTATTTCCTTTTTTATGCGGCCATGCAGTATCATCTGGTCTGTCAAGATCAGCCGGCTCAGCATCCAGTGCCTTTGAGACATATAACCCCAGACCCAGCAATGCTTTGCAGCCAAGGTGCAACACAACAGAGTAAAACTTGATATAAGTCAATTTTGTGAAGGAAATTCTGCACTTTAGTTTCTCTTCTTGTGTTTGTCCGTCTTCATCATGTTTTTGTGATCTAATACATTTGACCATGGATCAGTCTGTGTAATCTGTGTCAACACATAAAGTAATCTGATTCACCTCTTAACTTTAATCTGTATGTTTTTTGTTAAAACAAGTTTTAACTGGAACAGAATGTTCTCTGCAGTACTGTTATGTAACCCAGCGTAACCACATCCTTGTCTTTATACAAGGGGCCAAGGAGGCATCACAGAGGGACTTGTCAAGGGGGCCCTTTCTGTGGCAGCGTCGGCTTATAAAGCGCTCTTCACTGGACCAAACTGTTCAATACAGGTACATCACACAGCCGTGGCAATATTACATTACCAGCAAGTCAGCTGATGATCCCCTAAAGGCTAAAAACAAGTAGTTTGCAGAGACATGCTCAAAGGAGTTGGGTAAGGTTATGAGTCAGTGCTTCCTTATATAACTAGCCAAACATGCCCAAATGTATTGTTCTTCCTGTGCATGTAAATGTATTCAAAATGTGAAGAACATGTGTGATAATTGCATCCCAACCTGACTGAATTTGAATTAAACATTTTTTAACCATTTTGTGTTATTTCGGGACACATTTTGATCACATTTAAAGCTGCTATAATAAACATCCTTATATTAACAATCAAATTTCTATGTGTAATGAATGTGTGCACCAGAAACTGCAGTTCCCCTGTTTAGCATCTTTCAGCTAATTGTTTCTGTGATGAATTTGATGAAACCAATACCTGTTTTTTGAACAAGCTTCATCAATAGTCTGTTTTCGCTCCTCCCCCTTCCAGCGAGGCATCGACCCGGCCACCAGACAGGACCCTTCAGTGATGGCGATGCTGCTGGAAATGGGCTTCAGAGACCAGCGGCTCAACCAGCGTCTGCTGAGGAAGCACGGCTACAGCCTGCTGCACACCGTCAACGAGCTGGTGCAGATGGCCGAGGACAGCCAGAACAAAGCTGTCAACACTCAGCACTGAGGGAGGGAAAGCTGTGGGGAAATGCTACTGTAAGGCTGTAAAAACAACAGCAGCAAAAAAAAAAAAGTAATGAGAAGGAATTTATTTGACTTTTAAACCTAATGTAAAGAGAATATTTAGATTACGACCCGTGTGTCTCTCACCCTTTCCAGTGTCTAGATTTATTTTGAATTATTTAAAACAAAGAAAACCTATTTATGATTCATGCAACTGATTGGTTTTCCAAAGGGTGGATGGTTTATTTAGACCAAGAGTAATGATAATAAATATGAACACTGTTGATTAGAGAGAAAGGAATGAATGGCTTCTCCTGCCTTTGCCTTTAACTCAGCTTCAACATTTTGATTCAATTAATCCATATACACACTTGTAAAATATTATGAATAGTGGTTAAATTGCCTTGTTTACCCGGGCCATAGAGCCTTCTGTGTTGGTGAGAAGGAGCAAAAAAAAAAAAGTGTGTATTGTCAGCTCTTCATCTTAGTGTTCGTGTGGCTGTTGTAGCTGCTTCCTCGGCGCTGAAAAATAATTGTCTTTTGACAGGGCTTGGCTAGATTCTTCTCACAAATAGAGCAGTGAAAATTAATATTGTTGAATGTCATAAAATGATAGAAACGTTCTGAAAAAAAAAAAAAGCCAGCTCGCATTTAAGATGATGCTACTGAAGCTACATGGTTATTCTGGGTGTTAAGGGTCGGCAGCGCAGTAGCGAGAACGACAGATATTTAAGACTTTTCTCGATTTATCGTAGTGAAATCTGCCTAAACAATGCAATCTTTTTCTGTATCAAGAGTACTGTTATTTTAGACGTTGACATGTGGAATGTATACAAAACTGTCCGAACGGATCACTGTTCAGACTCGGATGTTTTCTACTGCTTTTTAGGAGACACCTGCATGACAGGTAGAGGCTTTAGAGATGAGTCATGTTCTTGTGGTCTTAGCACAGTCATAGTGGAAGATGTCCGCTTCGCGTCATCGTTTAAAAACACCCCTGCCTGCATTTTGTCACGTCCTTCATTCAACGACAAACCGAGCAACAGTCATTTAGCACTAATAAAAGGCGTGATGTCCCTTAACAACACATTCCTTAATCTCATAGTGGAACCAAGTATGTTTTATTTCATTACATTGCCTTTATGAAAGATGATCATTAGTTTACTGAAGTATACATGTAGTGATTTGACATTTGTGGTGTGAGTGTGTGAATTAAGTTAATGTACGCCTCTGTTAGGTTGATTTATTCCGTGTGTGTGTGTGTGTGTGTGTGTGTGTGTGTGTGTGTGTGTGTGTGTGTGTGTGTGTGTGTGTGTGTGTGTGTGTGTGTGTGTGTGTGTGTGTGTGTGTGTGTGTGTGTGTGTGTGTGTGTGTGGTTCAGGAGTTTTTGAACCATATTTTCTTATGTTCTGTCAGGCTCTAGAGGATAATTCTGAATATATCTACTACCGTATGCTTGTCAAATTATTCTTCTGCCACAGAGTGTATACATTAAATATCCTTCTGTCAATCCGCCAATAAACTATTTGCACATCTCTCGTCTCGTCACCCCTCTGTTAATGAAATGATTCTAGGTGTGGGTCGCCGCACTTCACACACTATATATATCTTCATATAGAGTACATTCAGTACTAGGTTAACTGCATGCTGTCAGAAGTGCTGAAGGTTGGAGTGTGCTGATTAAACTGCAGTTTTTACAGAATGAGGTTGGGTTTACTAGTACACAATATCAACACCTGCATTCTGTGTGATGGCCAGCAGGGTTAGGATGTATAATGCAATATAATGGAGCTGCCCATTGGCTGCAATAAAAAGCGTTGTCATGCAGTCTTATGGAGAAATGACCCGACTTCTCAATAGATTTATTAGCTGAGTCAGCAGTTTCATAATGAGTCGATGGTCACTATCTCTTCCTTACATACTCAACTCGCAGTAAGTCACCTCCGTCGTCACACCAATGGGTTAATGTCACAATGGGTTCACACTTTCTGCCTCCACACAACATACTGCTTGTACAAAAGATGGTCATCTTTATGATTACCTTGCTCTGTCCAAAGATACCAAAATCCACCTACCACCACCTCTTAAGCTCACAAATTACCAGGTTAAAATCTCATTTATATAAAAGCCATCCATTGTTAAACAACAGATATGAGAGTGGTATCCGTGTTCTCATATTTCTACGCTAGCTAATGAGCAGATTTACCAAAATGTGGAACTTTTGCTGTAAGGTTGGGGAAAGGTCACGGTTGTTGTTGAATGAAACAAACATAGAGTATCAAGAGGAAATGACAGGGTGTACATAATGCGCAGTGGTCACAAGGTGAATGGTGGTAGTTATAAGGGGTTACAGCTATTTTTCGCTCAGGTGGCTCCATAACAGGTTAATCTGGCCATGGTAAGATTCCAATATGGCCTAACCTGTAATGCTTCTTGGGTCATTTCCACAACTTCATTCTTTATCTTTTATAAACACGGTATCTAATAAAACACTTTTCAAACTTCATAATTGTTTGTATTTCAGCCTCATGTCATCAGTGCTAATAGCATGAGAACACTTCAGGTGATTTACCAAAACAGAATATATTTAGTTCTCAGAAAATAGGGTGAGAAGAGTCTCTTTTGGGATTTCCATGACCTCAAAAGACTCAAATTATGCTACTTCAATTTAAACATATGACTTAGGGGAATTTGTCAGGGTAACAGAACTGAGTGAAAACCAGGGGACCAGACTAAAATGTGTATTTTAACTAAAATGTTATACATTTATATGAAAATATATTAGGTTTAAATTGGGAATAAAGTCACACGATAATAATTAAAAAACTATTTTATAAAGTATTTTAATCATTATATTTCATGGTGAAGTGCAGGTACTTTTTTTTATGAAGGTTTTCACAGGATGTGTCTTCATATTAGAGAGCAGGAAACTCTGCTCAATAATAAAACATGTTATACAGATAGCTTTCCCTCCTACATGTGGGTTCAGTGCAATTTATTTTAGCGCATTGTGCGTGGATATGTGTCGCAACATTGTAGCTATAAAGCCAAAGAGTTAATGGAAAACAGCACATGTGATCTGCAGCTGGAGGCAGCCTGACCTGTCACCTGAAGAAGAAGGAAGTGTTCCTCCCACTGGGTTTTTGTTTTTCTGCATACTTGAGGTTGTTCTGCTGCCTCAGTGTACAGAAGCTCTTCGGGACTTACATGATAAAGGAGGTGTAGCAGTTTAACCTCCACACTGGGTGATCTTTCGGAGTTTAAAAGTCAAGGTAAGAGTTCATTTCACTCATCAGCTGAATGGATGCGGAGCGAATGCCTCTGCGCATGTTGGTGCTGAAGCGTGGTGCGTCATGTTGGACTGTTTTACGCAGACCAACAGGCAATATCTCTGCGCTTAACAAGCTTTAAATGTACGGAAGCTGGTCTGTTTTTGAGCAACAGGTGGTCATAAATGTAATGTATATGACTCCAGCTACATGAGCCAGCAGAATGCAAAACGCAGGATCCTCACAGCCTGTCGTACTTTCTTGAATAAGAGGCGGAGGAAGTCCTTTACGCAAGTATAAGTCGCAATGCTGCAATGTAACTAGTCCTGCTTTGAAAATGTCACTTTAGTAAAAGTAGTATGGCAGTAAAAGTACTCATTGTGCAGTAAAATGCTCCCTGGTCAGTGTTTTATATTATATATGATGTGTTTGTATTAATTTGACTGCTGTAGATGTTTTAGGTTGTATTTACAGCTGTCTAATGAATGTAGTGGGATAAAAAAATACTTTATTTTCCTCGGACTCCCTGTATAGTGGAAGTATGAAGCATAAAATGGAGTACTTGGGTAAAAATCATATTTGATCATTCCATTATATAATAAAAATGTTAAAATTCTGGAGGTGAATGAACCTGATGTTATGGTCAGTTAGTGATCAGGCCATCACAGTAAATATTAATATTATAATAATATAAAAATACATATAATATTACTAATATAATACTTAGTTCAACTTTTGGGTCCCTTTTTTTTTTTTTTATTTCCCATTAAAATAAAGTAAAAACAGTGTTTTCTTTATATCCACTGGGTTTAGTTCTGCATTTATTTTAAGGTTAAAATGTAGTACTAGTTTTTACATTTTATAACAGCTTTGGCTCATGTTTCACAAGTCGTTTGCCATTGTGAAAGCAGAAAGATTCAGTGCTTCAGTGATAAACTTCCAGGGAAATGTTGTAATATTACACAGAAAGTGGCTATTATTGCATCATTACAAGAAAATACTGTGCATAACAGTGCATATATCTATACCCATACTTTAATATAGCTTAAAAAGTCCAGAATATCTTACGGAATAGTAATTGTATAATATCATTTCCAGGCACAAACCATAAAATAAAGTCACTGAGGGTGTTTTTCTGTCACTCCCACACTCTGGACTCTGCTCACATCCTGACATGTAGCATAAAAATGAGCTTTTATTGGCTATTTAAAGGTTTGTGAGGGTGTTTGGCTTTATACGTAACTAAGGAAGCTTCGTGTAGAAGCTCTACGTACTGTTATTAAGCTGTTGAACTTGTTTGTGTTCTAGGTGGAGATTTCAGCCATTTTGGTGTGTTGTTTTGCTTCTTCAGACTGGACCGTTTCTCGCAATTAGGTGCCATGGTTACATCGTGGAAGAACAGCAAAGCCACAGAGGGACCTGATGTGACAAAAGACACGGAGAAGGTGAAAACACTGAGGCAGTTCCCTCCATATGGTGCCATGAATGGGAACTCAACAGGAGACACATGCCCCACATGTCGTGGCACCGGGCGAATTCCCAGAGGTTGGTTATCATGTAAAATGACTTGATCATGATTTTCATGATTTGTTACTGTATTTTAAGCAACGGCAGCGCCTTCAATGCAGCTAACTGAGCCAGTGTTGCAACATTCCTCATCCTCAGTTAACTTTCATTTCACGTTCCACAACAAAAGGAACACAGTCGGTTCAGCTGAGCAGCGTGTTTAGCCACAATTCACTTTCACATCATTTTTTTTAAGGTTAAAACAACTTTATTACAGTCTGTCTTTTTTGTATTGACAGGCCACGAAGACCAGCTAGTTGCTGTAATACCGTGTAATGATGTAAGGCTGAAACCCAGACGCACGTAAGGGACATATGTGTATTTGTGTGCTTTTTTTTATAGTTTTGTATTAGTTTTACATAATATGCACCAAACAAATCTATAATTTTATTACAGTTTAAATATAATTAAACATTGTTTTGTATACAACATTAGTCAGTTGTGTGTGTACGTCTTGCACATGTTGATAATGGTTGCACTTTAATATGAAACATTTGCATGTTTGTATTGCCTTACAGGAAGCTGTACGTCTGTGTCTCCATGATTGTCTGTCTCCTTCTTTGCTGTCTGTTCCTCTTCTTCCTCTTCCCGCGGAGTGTCATCCTGACGCCTGTGTCTGTGCTGTCGGTCATGGTTTACTTCACCCCAAATGCAGTTGAAATGGAGGTCACAGTAAGTAATAGGAGCACCAAGCGCAGCAGTGTTGTATCAAAGGCCTTTTACTGAGCAAGTCGAAGGATGTTCAGGGTTTGTTTGGTGTCTGTATAATAAACGACAGTACAATATTCTGCCCTGCAAAGCAAAACCACAGTAGCTATTGGTCAAAACCTTCCCTATCCTGGCTCTGTCCAGTTTTACACCTTCGTTTTTGTACAGATTGCACAAACAAGATATAGATTATGAGCTTTAGAGGTGTTGGTAGGCCTGTTTGTGGTCTTAATGCTAAGCTAAGCTAAGCTCCAGCCACATGTTTAGTTCACAGACATGCGTTTATCCCAAAATGTCGAACTATACCCAAAAAAATGGAGTAGAACAACATTTAAAAACACAATGAAGATTAAAATAATATCAGTTGAAACAGGATACAAATAATGATTGAAACTTTATATTCTATAACTTTATATATTAGATTGTAATTATCCTTCTACATACATGTCCTGTTAAGTTTTTGCTGAGCCACCATATTTTTAATGTACATGTCATTCACATATACTTGTATGGACAAAGTTCCCTGAGACTCTTTAATGGTAGAGAGTTGAGTCGGTTGCATCTGACGAGCTGTGTGTTTCCTCTCCTAGAACCTCATCAACATCACCAATGAGAACTTTGTCCCAGTTCAGATCATCCAGTTTAGCCTTCAGGGTCTGATCTCGGACTCAGTTGTGGGAAAGACCAAGATATCTAATATGAGCGCCATCCAGTCCCGCTCGCAGCAATCAGTGAGTTTCACACAGCAGGATTCACATAGAAAATATTCTGTTAATATATTTGCAATGCAATTCATTTCTCACCCTTCTTCCTTTTCCAGTACACTGTTAAAATTGACCTGCCTATCAGTGATAAAGGCTTAAAGTAAGTTGGAAATAAACCTTCATTTTCCAACAGAAAGAATGTATGATGGTGATATCATATATAAGTGATATAATAAAACGTCAGCCATTGTTGTTTATATGTCTGAGTTCAGCACATGTCCACACATCAACTGCTTTATCTCTTTCAGCATTTACTGCAAGTCGAGCTCTATCAAGATTCACACGTTATTTCTGGAGCTGCAGTAAGTGTCAATCTCAATCTTAAAACCAGCGGAAAAGGCCGCCACTTTCGCATATCTCGAAACCCGCAGGGTGTTAAAAGCATCGCTTTGTGCAGCACAGGGTTAAAAACCACAACCTCAAAACTGGTTCTTTTCAAAACCCGGTCTCATCCTTCAAAGTCAGATCTTTGAATCTGAAATGTTCTTTTTAGATAATACAAAAACAACATAGACTTTAAAAAAAAGTGGGTTTTAACCACAAAATCAAACATAAACAAGAAAACTATTCTGCTTATGACCGGCTGCTTTCCTACAAGGGTTTGAATGGATCACATCTGAACCTATATACAGCCTATATTCAGCCTGTTCTTACTCCCAACTTGTCCAATGTGGCTGCTCTGTCAGTGGCCCTATGTTTCAAACTAGGATGCTGTAGGTACCCTTCTAGTGTCAGTTCTGGACTGGCCAGTCTGGTGTACTGTTTTGATGTGATTAGAAGATTTTTAGAAGATATTTTAATTTAAAAACATTACATTCTTGTGGCACATTGACTCAACATTTAATCGAATTATCTAATGGTGGCATTAGAAATCAATAAATTCTTTTATTTCCAAATGTCTTCACTGAACTCAAGCATACCACTTAGTCTAAAACCATAACAGATGATTACATCAATTTCAGTTTATTAACACTAGAACGTGTTGACATACTGAAAACTAGCCTATTCTTAAGTTGGAAACCACATTTTTTCACAGTGTAATTTTATGATGTTTATACTGTACCACTTAGGACAACATTGCATTTCTAGTTGTCAGGGATAAAAGTTGAACACATTCATGACAGTTGAACTTGTGATAAAACTTGAAACTGCATTAAATTGATTTTTTGACCACTTGGGGGCAGCGGAACAAGCTCAACACATACATAATATCACCGTATAAAGTTCTTATGTTGAATATACAAAACAGTGATGAACACAGCAGACACATTAGAATTTGTGTAAAGTCGGATTTTTGTCCTTCTGATGAATTTAATAAGAAATATTGATTTAAAAACATTATGCAAACATGACACAGCAGATGCTGACTCCAACTATCTCTATTAATGTTTTTTTTCTCCTTTTTTATCCCCCCCAGAATGACAATGAATATTTCCTATCTCGCTCACACGGAGCAGGTGTCTCTGGACACCTTTGAATATATTGACTGTGGCAACAATTCAACAGTCCCACATCCTGTGAGATGATGAAATCAAAATGAAAAACACCAATGTGGGAGTGTGAAATAATGAATATTCTGGCCGCACTGCACCCTTATCTCTCTGTATGGGAGGTGAGTTTGTGAACGATGACTACTGTGAAAAGGCGTCTTATCTTATTCTGTATGTTGTTTTAGCATACTTTAAGACTTAAATCAACCACTACAATGTTAGAATTTAAAATATTAATGCTTAAACTACACGTTTGTCTTAGCATTAATGTTTTTTTTTGCTCTTATTTGTTTGAGACCTGTAAATCTGTATTGCAGGCAGAGTGGTCTCATAAGCACATTGTTATTATAACTTTGTATTTTTATTTGAAGACATGTAAATTTCTTTAAAATTGAACTTATTACACAACAGTCTTGGAAATGGGCAGGATGCCAGATATTGTGTAAATAGGATGTTAATCTCTGATCAGATCTGATATTCTTGTCTTTTGTCATTTGCACTTCATTAAACTGTGGCATTTTACCCTCCATGAACCCTCCGTCGTCACACTACAGCACACTGTAGACTCTGCTAAATTGATCCTTGTTGTGTTAAGGTGGTGCTGAATTACATAATAATGGCTGCATTTCCCGACAAGGAGCCTTTTTCCACTCCCATAAAATGATAGTCACTACTATTATGAAATCACATATGTCACAATTAATATTTATATTTTGTGACTGCGCCCAAGTTCCAGAAAACGCTGTATTTTCACTTTCACCTCTGGACATGCATATCATGTTGCTTTTATTTGTTTTAGATATCACAACATTGAAAAGTAACTTTAAAAGCACGTATTTTCCAGCAATAGGTATGCTCATTACTCTGGATAATCCTCCATCCAAATACTGTCAACAAATATACAGGAGCCATTTGTGCAGGAGAAAGTAGTTCCTGTGAAAACTGTTGACAGCGAGGTCTGTGGATTATCCAGACTAATGGGGGTAACTTTAGCTGGAAATAGACGTTGCTCCTGAGTTATGGGAGGTTTTTCTGTTTCTGGAAAGATGACTGTTTAATTATTAAAGTAAATTGTGTTAAAAAAGAAGAAACGTTTCTCATCAGCTGGGTACAAATGTAAGATTTTTTCTGCTTTGGTTTTTTTTGGTGAACCATCCCTTTAAACTCATGTTGCATAGCATTACACACAAACAATTAAATCAGGTGCTTCTCTAGCCTCTGTGGATGAGCAGTGGTGGAAAGTAAGTACATTTACTCAAGTACTGTGAGCCTATTTAAGTCAAATTGTGAGGTACTGGCCCTTTACTTGAGTATTTCCATTTTATGCTACTTCATACTTCTGTGCTTTTTACTCCACTACTAGAGTAACTTATTTGACAGCTATAGTTACTAGTCCGCAGGATGAGATTTTACATATAAAACCAATGATCAGTTGACAAAATATGATTTATTGCAATGGTTTAAACTTCCCATCAGGATATAAAGTCATTGCAATTAGCTTCCTCCCATTACATTAAAACACTGATAACATTTTAATGTATCAGTCATTATGATCCAATATTATTATTCAAAAATAATAACATGGAGTCTGGAGTCTGTGCCATAATGTGTACTTGTATATGCAGGACTTAATTATAATATAAGCAATCATTTTTACATTGTAGCATTGCACTTAAATGCAGATTAAAATCCAATCAGAGAGAGATGTTGTGTGGGCAGATTGCATGTTTGCAGACATTTGAGTTGAACACTTCAGATATCGACAGTCAATATTACTTTCTAATTATTTTTAGTGTCACCCCAGAACACAGGAAAGCATGAACATCTACAACAGGATTTATATTTAGCTCCAGTTCGTGAAGTTCTTGAGAGTGGACACAGGGTGGAGCCAGTGCTTTGTCAGACAATGACAAGCTCCAGTATGTATAGTGAAAGATGCAGAACTGATGTTAATTGTGCTAAATTACATGATTGTGTTCCTGCCAAGAAACTGTCATTTTTAAAAGCATACAGTAATATATGTGCACAGAAATAAAAATAATCTACATACATGCAGCTTGAGATCACTCAATCTGCAGAGGCAACTATGGCTCAGTAGAATACTGAAACACGGTTTATTCTCACAAGTACTGAAATACTGATACTAAACCTTCATGTTACTTTGCACTTCTACTCCACCACAGTTCTATTGTAGTTTTTACTTCATTACATTTATCTGACAGCCATAGATCAAGATTTTGTGTGTCAAATATCATCAGGTTATAAACACAACAGTATATAAGCCACAGTTGTTAAATTAGCTTTATATAATATTGACAATATTCAGATGCTGCTTACAGGCTGCTTTACAGTTACAGAAAAAAAATGAAATCAGATTAATGTTACATTTAGTAAAAAATAGGGATTACTTACACCACCACTAATTCTAAAAAGCTTTACATTTATTTCTGTTTCCAGAAATAAGTGTTCTGTTGTCTTATAGAATACACTTGCATCAATACTTCTTATTGACATTTCTTTTCTCTTGTTTTTATTTCCATATTTGGTGTTGAGGTAATCCAAAAGTACAGAACAGAAAGTAATCAAGAAAATCAAGGAATTAAATAATAAAGTTACTTTAATATTGTGATACTTGAATTAGGTTGCTGACTACATTTAATACTACAACAGGTAATTATTAACTGTATCAGATTACATTTTTAAAGTTAACCCTCCCAACCCTGGCTGCGTATATGGTGATGAATCAGGTATAAAAATCCAATAATGTGTAATAAATGTAACACTTTGAATGTAGCCATTTCTGCTCACACACATTTTGAATACAGGACTTTAACGTGCAGCAGAGTATTTTATTTATTTATGTTTTTATTTATTTATTTATGTCACCGTGGTACTGCTACTCTTCCTTGAATAAAAGATGCGTGCGGCCGGTTGTCGTGCCTCCTCGCACCGTGCAGTTCCCCGCTGTCACCGGCAGGGGGCGTTGGGTGGCGTGTCCAGGTGGCCGTGACGTCACCCGGGCTTTAGGTGCCGTGCGCTCGAGCCTCTCCGGGGCTCCTCAGTGCTGCTGGAGGAGAACAGGAGCGGATGTGACCCCCGGGACAAACACAATTTGTTTACAAGTCAACTATGGATGTGTTCATTGCCTGTGGATGATGTGTTCGGAGCGCATTTAAAAGGTAGGAATTTTTATTATTTTTTTTAAATGTGCACGGAGGAAGGACAGTTTTTATTGAGGTGGTTTCTTATTGTGTTAACTGTGTTAAAACTGCATTTTTATATTAGTGGCGCTCATTTTGTCCGGTGAGCTCATAAAGTTACCCCTACAGGCTCTCTGGAGGAGAAGTTGTTTCATTTATGTGTGTTTTTTTTGCACACTTCGTGGTAATAACATGCAGTACAAAATATATGTGCCGTGCGAGAGAGGACGAAAACTAAGGTGGCTTATTCCCAACAGAATTATTTCAAATACAATCAAGTAATTAAAAAAACACCCGATTCACAAACATGACTGTGCGTTTTCCCCCTATAACCAATAATCGCTGAATCTCTTGCAGCAGCAGGATTTTCTTTAGGGTTAATAATAGATATCTTCCTGCAAACATGCAATGTCTGTATTCTGTCCGAAGGCAGCTGTTTGATGGGTATCAGGATGTCAACAACAACCGGATTAGTGCTGCTGCTGCAGTCCTCGCAGACAGAGTGAATACATATCATCCATCCATCCGCTGCATTGGAATCAATCTGCCCCAAGAAAAGCCTTTCAGGTTTTAGCAGCCTTAAGAGGATTAGGCTCTAGATAACCTCAGCCACCCAATTAGCTGTTGTTTGGCTCCGTAATGTGGCACTGAAAGAAAGCCCAAGATATGTATTGTTTTATGTAATCAGAAGAGAAGAAACTCAAGTATGGAGGCTTGGTTTAATAGAATGGTGGGGGGGGCAGTTTGCTTATAGTAAAGTCATAAATCTCAGCTGCAAACAGGAAGTCCCATGTTGATAAGATTAAATTTGGAAAGCACTCCCACTGATAATCATCAATATCTATTCTTTTGTGTTCCTCAGGTGACACTGTGAAATAGCACATGCAAACACACATTCCTTTAGCACCCATTGTCTTCAAATTAAATGTTAACTCTGTGCTATGTGTGTGTTTTGATAAGGTCTGCCTCTGAGGACAGGGAGCAAATGCCAATCTGCTGAAGAAAAAAAAGGATTAAATCAGGAATCTGTCACCTCACCTAAGTAGGTGTGAATTGCTGGCTGCGGTCATGGGGAACCAGCTGACTGATATGGCTCCGAACACGCCGTCGTTCCTGCCAAACTTCCAGTCTCTGCACGTGGTGGTTATCGGGCTCGACTCCGCCGGCAAAACCTCTCTGCTCTACCGGCTCAAACTGAAGGAGTTTGTGAAAACCATCCCCACCAAGGGCTTCAACACGGAGAAGATCAAAGTGGCTGTGGGGACGTCCCGGACCATAAACTTCCAGGTGTGGGATGTGGGAGGTCAGGAGAAGCTGCGCCCGCTGTGGAAGTCTTACACCCGGCGGACAGACGGGATGGTGTTTGTGGTGGACTCCACTGAGCAGGAGCGGATGGAGGAGGCCAAAGTGGAGCTCCACAAGATCACCCGCACCTCAGAGAACCAGGGGGTCCCCGTGCTCATCCTGGCCAACAAACAGGACCTGGATTCAGCCATGTCTGTCAGCGAGGTGGAGAAGCTGCTTTCTGTCCACGAACTGAGCACGTACACGCTGCATCACGTGCAAAGCTGCAGCGCCGTGGACGGTCAGGGACTCCAGCCGGGCCTGGAGAAACTTTACGAGATGATCGTGAAGAGGAAGAAGATGGTGAAGCACAACAGGAACAGAAAGAGATGAACTCTTGGCTCACACTGTGGACCTTATTAAATTTATCCACTGTTGAGACACTTCCAAGCTTAATGGTCCCTTTTAATGGGGGAGCGATTTGTGCCAACAAAACAACAATTACACACGGCCTTAGGGTCAGGAGAAATGGATTTGCTCATAACAACTGAAGCAGTATTGACACATTATTTGTTCTGCAATCGTGCAGCTGCCCTTTGAAAGCTTAAGTTAAAGATTTAAAGGGAACCTCGCTAGCAGTTAGTCTTCACTAAGTGCTTTTCTACACTTGTTTTAGAGAAGAATTCTTTTTCAACGTTTGCCTGTTAACTGTGGGACTAATATATGGACTCATTTGCATCCATGTGGCAGGTATGAGGGGAAGAGAACTATAAAATAGATTTTAAAATATCCTTATAATCCTTCACAAGCTTGCACACAATCTGCCCCACTGTTTTTGTTCCAGACGCTTCCCCCGAAATATTTATTCCATATTTTTGTGTTTGTGTTGGACAGAGGGACTTTTGTGTCTTTCTGTGACTTTTTTGTAAATTATATTAAAAATGAAACTCAGTTCAGCGGTGGCAGAAGCACCAAATGATATTAACTATCAATGCCATGGAACCAGTGTTCCTAAGTGCATTCCCCTTATGGCCACAGAGGTTAAGTTTCAGTTACTATAACAATAGTGTTTATACAAATTGTACATTTTTGTAACACTCAAGACTTAATAAATCTAAGCACTGTACAGAACATTCATTGCTTTCCTTGTAGTTAATAGGAGTGAATGAGGGAACACCATCATGGTTTAATATTAAAACATTGAGCCAAATGTATCTACAGACATCTACAACAAGACATCTGTTCTCTAAACGTACAATATGTCATTTCTGCCGCTAGGGGGGTCTCTCACATCAAAGCAGTAACAAAAGACGAAGTTTGACGGGGTTGTGATCATGGGATCATGGGAGTTGTTGTCTTCGTTCAAGAGGTTTCTAGCGGGAGCTGGATTATCTGCAGAGGTCTGCTCCCCTCTAAAACAAACAGATCTGTTAATTAAAACCAGTGATAACAGAGAATAAAGCAGTTTCACTTTAAAAGTCACTGTTTGTCCGACACCATTTGGCAGACAAAGGACGTCCCCGAGAGGCTGCGAGCCGAGATGCTGTTAACGTTAGCTCAGCTTGTTTCTCTGATAACTTAAGATCCAGACGTTTAATGACTAAAATCCTTAAAATTATTAAAATATAGTGTTAAAAACGACCAAGATTTAAGAAATGTATCATAAAAAGGTAGCTTAAAACTGAATAAAATGTCAACCTATAAGAGCTTCCTGCAGACAGCCACAATGCGGACACAAAGGGGAAATGACGCCACTGATGCAACCGATCAAACGCACTGTTTTTAGTGAAAAAACCCACTGTGCCCAGGACCAAACTGCAGACAGACGAAGATAGTGACTATCGGGCGAATGTAGTGCAGCATTTGCAGCTATAGAGCAAGACATTTCCCTTTGGAGTTTGCAGAGACCAAAAGCAGAGCTAAAAGGATTGCACAAACATCTGTTGGATGTGGAAATAGTAAACTATTTACAAAAAAGTTCACTATATCAGCCTAAAAGGTAATAATATAGTTAGCAAAACTCATAAAACCACTTTCATTCAAAATTTGATGTCCGGAGTTGTGACCCTCCTCCCTTATTCATGGCTGAATCAGCAAATGAGGCTGTCAGAGAGCTGGAGTCCACTCCTCCTCCCCCACACAAGCCAAAGCAATCCATTCACTTTGATTCTTGTCTGCCAGCTGCTGACATTGTAATTGCATCAATTAGTGGTGAGGTGCTTCAGAGGTGAGGTGCTTCAGTCCTTTTGTGTGCTCATGTCACCTGAGGCCATCATCAGCATACGCTCTGCTTTACTGTACCTCTGGTAAACTGACTTCCACACCAAAAAAAAAAAAAAAAAGATGAAGAACACAGTTGAATTTGTAGCTGTGTTTATACATTTTTCAACATCTCATTAAAGAGTTGTCCCAAAACTGGGTTAGGGGTTAGGGTTAGGGTTTTTCCAGAGAAATATCACTGTATGTCTGGAAACAAAACACAATCTTACCATTATTCTTATTTCACTTTTGTGTTTTTTGAGAATAATTCATCACAAAAACTTCCACACAGGAAGTGGCTGATCATTTTTGCATTAATCATTTTTCTTTTTGTAGATATGTTTTGGGGCTTTTTGCCTTTATTTGACAGGACAGCTGAAGATAGACAGGAAAGGGGGAGAGAGAGGGGATGAGACACAGCCATTCCGACTCTGATTCTGAGCCACAGGTTGGATTCAAACCCATTGCTGCTGCAGCAAGGACTCCTGGCCCTTGCTGGCCCACCAGGTTGCCCTGCATTTACTATTTTTTTAGGTTATTAGAACAGCTTATTTACGATGTGTCATGTAACAGTCCATTATCATTGCATGACCAGTAGAAACCATTAAACCTACTCTTGGAAATTATGAGTGTTCTCAATTAAAGGTTTTAATCCACTTGCTTTTCCACAAATCTCTTAAGTTGCCACTCAAATATATTACCCAACAAATACAAGGTCCAATCTACAGGTCACACATTGGTGACCTGAATACCAACTCTCTCTCTGTGTGTGTGTGTGTGTGTGTGTGTGTGTGTGTGTGTGTGTGTGTGTGTGTGTGTGTGTGTGTGTGTGTGTGTGTGTGCTCCTGCTGCATATTTGTTTCGCTCGACATGATGAGATAATGACTTGTTACCTACTCAGATGCCTCCTGCTGTTCAGTGTTCTTTAATGCTGAATGTCAAAGCAGACATAAATGCATGCGCATATGATATGACAAGAGACCTACGCACCCAAGCACACACACAAGCACACACGCAAGCGTACACGCACATCTTGACTTTTGCGACCTCACCGACGCCAGTATTAACAACGGTGAGCTCATTAAAACTTTCAAGGATGTCTTTTGCAGAATCATCTTGACACAGCAGCTGGTCCCTGAATAAATTAGCATCATGATGTGGTGTTTTCAACAGCTGAGACACACTGTGGGCATGTGGAGGCATCGATCAGCCAACGAGAAACATTCTGCGGCTGAGATTCTCTGCCTTGAGTAAAAGGTGTAGAAGACACTGGACTGCAGCTAAGGAAAGGTGCTGTCACACTGACATTATTCTGCACACTTGACTGACTTGCTGATTAGGAGCCGTGATCCCTCCACTGGGGCGAAAAACCTGCATGTGCATCTTTTTCTTTTTTTTGCTTTTGCATGTTTCTGTCTCTGTTACTGTCTGTGTCCCCGTCTTGCCACTTCTGTTTTCGGTGTAATGAGTGGCTGGCTAGAAACACACGGAAGAGGGAAGCCTTGGGGAGCATGTGTCAAAAACACACATTTTCTATCAGTCAACCCAAGGACATAGACAACCCTAATGTTTCTTCCTGTTCTCCTCAAAAAACATGCTGCAGTCGCTGTGCCAGTTGTGAAACACGAGTTACATTGTACTATAAGCATTATTCAGAAACCCCATTTGTCTGACAGACTGTTATTATTATTATTATTCTGAAGACCTGTTGTTCCGAAAATACACAGTCTAGTATCAACCAACGAACAAAAGTTAACTGAAGTAACAAACTGATTTGAACCCAAACCATGATCTTCTCAGAAACATGACCAAGTAGCCTTGGGTGCCTAAACCTAACCAAACTTCGATCCTTTCACAATGTGTATAATAATGACCAAGGTCACCTGACTTCGTCCCTTCCTGCACATCCAAAACTTTCAAAAAATGGGCCTTTGGCAATGGGCATATGTTGTTTAGATAACAGGATGTCAGCATACCTGCATGTATAACATTTACCATGTTTACCATCATGGTTTAGTGTGTTAGCATATTTGCTAATTAGCACTAAGCAGCACTCAAAGTACAGCAGAGGCTACCCATTGCAGGTATTTAGTCTTAAACCAAAGTACTGGACAAACTGAAAATTTGACCTGATAATGGTGGTGGTAGTTATTTAAAATTCATCCCGAGGGGTACATGAATGTCAGCACCAAAATGCAAAGCTGTCCTGTGCTGTAGTTGTTGAGAGATTTCACTTAAAATCCCAGAATTGAACCTCATGATAGCACTAGATAAAACATCAGGCGATCACCAATCTCATTCGGATCCATCCTCTGGGAACCATGCATGACAGAGGCAATTTAATGCCAATCCATCTGGGAGTTGTTGAGATATTTGAATGTGGAACAAGTTGGTGGACCGACTCGTAACCCGACTCATCTCCATCGGGATTTATAGAGCCAGATCGCTAGCATGGCTAAAAACAAACCAGTGACTGCGAGGGGCGCAGCCATTGAACAAAGTTACAAAATATCCGGATGAATAACAACAGAGCAATCATTCTCTTCTGCTGTCTCTTTAAAGCCCCTATGATGAAAAGCAATAGGGTGCTGGGCACAAATCCAAGCCTCTTAACACGTCCAACCCGGGGCCTAGACATAATTTTCCATCACCATGGCAACCCGAAGTCAGCAGTCACTAAAGGGTGACCTGTGAGGGCAGCGGTGGGGGTCAAATTGCTTTTTGTGGCTGGATGTCCAATCCAGCTGAGGTTACTGACAGGGCAGGGAGATTAGAAGAAGAAGCTCAGATCAATACTGGACTCCTGAGATCACCACCTCACACTATCTGTCCCTTTGTCATTTTTTTCCCACTTTTTTTTATCTCCCTTTATCAGTCTGTCTGTCTGTATTTAATCTTCTTGGGTTTTAAAGTTGTTGACAACCTCTGTTTTGTTTGCTTTTTCACTCTCCTCAGCCCTGTATTTGTTGTTATTGATGTCCATCTCTATGAAAATATCTCAGATTTCACACCAACTGGGCCTTTCTAGGAAATCGACCTTGTTGACATTGCTGCGGATGGAGGGGGGTAGTTTTGCAGCGGAGAGATGGTTGTTAGCGGCAGACACGGTGCACAGTGAAGGTCTTTTGACGGTTCAAAAGGGACAATGTTTGTGGGAGGGCAGGATTAGTTGCTTTAGCTTTTATTCCCGAAAGGTCGTAAAGCTGCCACTTGGCCTTCATTTAGAGCCGGGCCTGTACCATTGAATGGATGGGGAGGGATTGTGAGGGAAACTGAAGCTTGACTCCGGTACATAGAGCAGCCTTTCACCCTGTGGGCTATAAGTGAAGAAAGAACAAACACCAGGGCTGTATTTCTTAGTTGCTAAAAAGACAATGTCACAGTGGGTGGGGTTTTGGAGTTTGAGTGTTGTTAAATCGTCTTTACCTCTGAGGTGATCCTGCGCCAAAACACATGGACATAATAATCTTTTTTATTCATCCCTTGCCATCGGATAAAAGACAGTAATCACTTTTATTTTGTTTCTGAATGAATTGTATCACTTCAGGGGTCAGGGTTATTCATATTCACAAATACACTTGTTTCCCCGCAGACTCCGAGTCGGGGATGATTCATTGCTCGTGGGAACCGTGAGGAAATTATGGGCCACATGTTTACTGTGATTTAAATTTTATGGCCAAACTTTTCCATAACTTGTTCAGCTGCAGGGGGGATATAAATATGACTTCATGGATGATTTCATGCTTCCACACAGACTCTCAAAGGGTCCAGATTAAATCACTTTTCAAGAACAATCTCTTCTTGATGCACAGTTCTCATGAAGGGCCGCACAATGGCGTCATTTTAAAACATATTAAATCATACTGCTGTTGTG